CTCTTCAGTCCCAAGTACTTTATGGACACAGTTAGCGCTGCCACATCTTTGACCTCGTTCTTCACCAATCATGCGTTCGAATTAATGATACTGTAAATACGACATAATTTATAACTTTCTTGAGAATAAAGCTCAAAATGTACAGCATTACTATTGTTCGTGCATGTAAATCAGAAAGAGGGAAAGATGTTTTATTCACATTGTACGAAAGAGGGAAGTGACGACTTCAGTTTCTTTTTCCCTTCGTTCTCTTCAGTGCGATTGATGTCGATGGGTTCAAGAAAACGCTCGTTGTTTTTCATCATCTTCTACTTTTGCCCATTTGGAGAAGTGATTTTAAGCTGTATGGGTTAGAGAAAAGTATCCACGATATAGTGATGTATATCCAAAAAATTGCGCCGTTGGGCGGAAGAATCCGTTCAGTTAAGAGGTGTTCACTTTGCAGAGTGACCGCATACAGAATTTACACTGTAGAAACATTTCATTATTTCATTTTAGTGGACGTCGACTAGCATGCGTTCTTTTTGGAGTCTTCTACGGACTGTATTGTCTTTCGTTTGTAAGTAGAAATAGTAACTATTAGAAGCTGGATTAGTAGTTCAAGTGATCTTTAATAGCATTTTCCTTTATTATGGAGTCTTGCCATTGGAACCATTCCTTGGGGTATAGCCAACGCACTTGATCAGACAGCTATCGAATCATGGCTCATTGCAGAACATCGACTGGTATGCCATTTATTCTAAAAGCCAATAACGATTTAAATGTTTTTAAATAATAGCTTTCTCTGGATACGCAAGCGCTCAAACATATACTGTGCCGCACATGTGAGTAATGCAATAATAGTAGCTATAAATTGAACTTTTGTGTTTTCCGTGTGTCGACAGCCATGGTCAAAATACTAGTATCGATCGGAATGGCTTTGTTCTCCCAGTTTTTGGTACAGTCATTTGGATACACGTAAGTGCACGATCTCAACATGTTGAATACCTGTGCTTTACTCTATCGATCAATATTTCTGTATAACATAGTTAATTAGACAAATAGTATAACATCTGAAGTGATTAAGAAAACATTTGATCAAATTCAAAAAAATAAGAAGCAGAAGATGTTTGCCCAACATCTCATAAGTGGAGAGTACTTTTCGTATGCACCTTTTATGAGTCACTCAAAAGAGTCAAGAACACCTTTGGATATCCATAACTTCGGATGAGTTTGAAATTACGATCATGTTAGCAAAGACAAAATTCCTGATCGTTTTATCATTTGATCTAATTTTGAATAAACTATGATTGATTTCTTCTGATGTTTGTTCAGATCAAACTAATATTTCCAACGCTCTTCAAAATTTATATAGAATGCTTATGTAAAAGTAAAATTCATATTCTATTGACAATGAAATCCTGAACGAATTTGGCGGAAAATCAAGCATTCATCTATTCAAAATTTTGGATCCCGAAGATAAGCCATACTAGTATAGAAGATAATCTCGGTTCTTGTAAGCGAACGAAGAAGAGATTCGTTTGCTATATCAGTTACACATATATCATATAATATTTTCCTTCTTTTCTTTCTATCTATCATGTTCTTTCCCCTATTTTTGTTCCTCTCTTTCATGTTATGTTCCCTTCTTTCTCATTCTCTTCTCTTTCTTTTTTCTCCGTCTTCTTTGATCTACTTTTCTTGAACTATATTTTTTTCCAAGTTAGAAACAATGGCTGTTACGTAGGTTTTTTTCCCAAGATTCCTTGTATTGTGCAGGTGGAAATAACCGAGGAAATAGCCGTCTCTCATCATATAAATACGTTCGTTTTTCTTCTTGAATAAACAGAAAGAAAAAGTAAAAAAGAGTGTGACAGGCATAGTAAAACCGCTGAACTTCATTCGATAAGATTGTAACAGTTCTATCATGTTTCAGTGCTCCATTTGATGTGGCCGCTGCAGCTCTGGTTATTATGATAATCTTTATACTGTTGAAATGGCCAGAAAACTATGGCAATAAACAGACTTCATCTGCAACTTCGTTCATTTCTGCTACTAAAATTCTACTGGCCGGTCGGTCAATATTTTTTGCGAGTAGAACGAATAAACTGTTCATATATCTTAGATTTTCGTATTGTCTTGCTTGGGTTAAGCACCTCTTTCTTCGAAGCTGCTGTTTACATTCATGGTATTCAATGGACACCAACACTTCAAAGTGCGAAACGTATGATTATTTATGATCCATTACCTTTAGGTGTTTGTTTTGGTGGTCAGATAGTAAGAGCAAATATTTATTACTAAAGCATAAACATTCCTATTGATATAGTTGTTCCGCTGCATTGGCACAATTGTGTTCATCTCACTTGCTGAACGATTTCGTGCTCAATCATTTATGATGTAAGCTATGACGGATACTATAATTTATTTTTCGTTCATATTCATTTCATAGAATAATCTTTCTGCTGTCTGCAATCGGACTAAGTGTACCGATCTTTGCTTCAAATGTAAGTATACGATTCAATGAATCTATACTGATATAATTAGAAAACATTCAAGGCACAATGGCCAATTCTGGTGGGTTTCTTCTTGTTTGAATTTTGTGTGGGTGTCTATCGACCATCTTCAGGCTTGCTGAGGAGTCAATACATTCCAGATGAGAGTAAGAATATCACAATTAATGAACTCGTTTACCATTTACTTTTCTGTTCGCGTAGTCCGAACAACAATGATGAATTATTTGCGGGTACCTCAACCCATTCTAGTGATTGGAATTTTACTCTTCGTAAGTCTTGCACTTTTATATCAGTAGAAATGAGACATTCGATTGAAATTATTGAAAAATGAAGAGCTAACTGATTCAACTTTTACCTAAAAAAAAGAAGAGCAATTATCATAAAAAGTTTTTGCTCTCTTAAGTCGATAGTTGAATTTGAAAAGAGAGAATTGTTTTGTCTCAATATGTGAAACTAAAATAAATATTTATTGATCGGTTGTTACTTTTTAATTTGAATTTCTAGCATTTTTCATTATCCCTTGTATTCATTATCTTGGTCTTCATGCTACTATTGGCGATGTTCTCTATGATTGGTTTAAGATAGTGAGTACACTATCGAAACAAAGGATTCGTTTACTTATACGAATGAAAATAACTTTTGTTTAGTTTGAAAATATCTGATGAACAATCATTAGTTCTCGTTGATCAAGTAATAATCAATCAACCATTATTAGTCGAGGTCAAGGTTATCAAAGTTCCAGTGCAATTCTACTCTACAATTCCAAACATTTCTCATGTCTAAATATAAATCAAAGAGAAGGAATTTTCGACATCTATAATAAACGATAGACAATTGTATTTGCTCGTTTAATATTAAAAATAAAGGACTCGATCAAAAATCATCAGATATTTTCCCGCTCTGAAAACATTATAAAATGGAAGTACTTTAGCAGTATACAATTGCCTTGATATTGATTTATTAAGATTATGTCCCTCTTGAGAACAAAACCTTATGCAATATCCAAATTCACTGTGGTCTTTGAAAGAAGAACAGAAGACTAAGCTGAGCTAATCTATCTATATATATAATTAGCTCCCCTTACGAAGAAACATTCTCAGGTGTCGAAACGCTTTTCATTAGGAGTTTCGTACATCTTGTAGTTCTTAGTAATCTGTGTCTATGATAAAAAAGTTCGCATTTCTGGCTTTTTTCTCAAATGATAGAATGTTTTTATTTACTACTACAGCTATAAGGGTCATCTTATGAGGAAAAAAGTACTATGTCAACCAATGCAAGTTGAAATGAGCTGAGTTTTTTCTCACACATAATTGTGCTTATGCGAAAGATAATGTGAAAGTCTGAACTCAAACAACCTTGGAAGACCAAGTTATCAGTTGTACTAAATATGAAAGTCGTTATATATATCATTAATTATGCTATTTCGCAGAATTGCAAGATAATTGGAATATGTTACAAAATCCGGAATGAAAAAATCTAGAAACGAAAGTTTCACTGCGGATGTGGGTGTGGGGATGAGATGTCGGTGTGGATGTATGGGTGTGACTTCTTTCCATCTGACACCCACCCACACGCACACCTACACCCATACAGGGAAGTATAATTGCTAGTAGGAACGATGAAAGAAAAGGGTGGAATCAATTATTTTTTCCGAAGGATTTATCATTCGATCGATATGGCAATCTGTACATCGCCGATCAGGGAAATTGCCGAATACAAAAATTTAATATTGAACAGATAACAAGTTAATAAATGATGCTTATGTGTTTGTGTGATTGAAAATGATTCGCATTGAATGAAAGAATAAAGACATTCACGATCAGTCGATTAATGGTTTAGGGTGTGGGTGTTCACTAAACTCTCTCTCGTATCCACACCCACACCCACAAACGCAGTTAGTTTGGATATCAAGTCAAGGGTAGGGTAGACCAACTTAGATATATTCGATGGTTTTTCTGACTATGGTTTTTTTCGAATAGCTTACATCATTACTCGATAGTCTTTTCACTCGCTTTCTTCGGTTGATACACGTTTTCTGCTTCAATCATCTATTTCTTTTGCAAATTATCGTTTATTGTTTGGCTTATTAATGCTTTCATTCATATTCATCGTTCTCAATCTTCTTTTTTCTTGCACTTCCCATGTTCATAGATGTCGTGCTAAACGATTTTTGAATGTAGAAGTACATACTCGTATCGACGTACTAGAATAATCTCATATAGTTTATCGTAATGATACTAACTGACTACATAACGTTTTTTTGGGCACGGCACTTTTATTCACCATCATTATTCTTATTTTAATGATCGTCACCATTTTCTTATGTCGCCGACTACGATTCTACTTACATTGATGACAAACATCTACTCTTGCAGCCATCGAAGCATCCGACTTAACACAAATACATCCAATAGCGAACGTTCTTATGACTGCCCCACAACGTCTTGCTACTACGGAAAATACATCTCAACTGTACGACTTACATCAGCCATCGTCATCCTCATCACACTATTGTTCGCTTTCCGCTTTTGTTTGGCCCATTTCTGCTGGATCTCCCGTGGCATCCTCAAATTCTAATTTACTTACAAATTTTAAACCATTGACATCGTATTCTTTCTGTTTTTGTTTTGTTTTATGCTACTACATTATCGATTCTTGTTTTCATTTGATTCGATTATTTTCTTTCTCTTATTATTCTATTCATATCAGCATTTCTACCTTCTTACTTTTTATTCTCTAATGTGTGTGGACCCACATTTTCATCGGTGGGAAAGCATGTTACAGACATACATTTTACATGCCTATACATATTCCGTTCTTGTCGACATCTGTTTTGTTCTGTTTACATTCTTTAATTCTTTTTTTTAATCAGTATTCTTCTTGAGTCATTCGAAGAGAAAACGGACATAGAGAAAGAATAAAAGGGATCTTCTAATACTGCTTGCGGATACTTGATATGGAAACATGTCCCACCAACATAAATTGAACTGAAGGGATACAAAGATAAATCACGATTGTGCACAAGTCAATCTTCGATGAAATGGCTGCAGATCGATCGTATCTAACAGTTGAGAAAAGAAGGATCGACTATCTGAGTCAGTATACATGAATGTCAAAGTTAATTTAGTTGATGAAAGCAAAAATGGCAAGTGTTTGAAAGAATACGTTTTGCTTCTGTGCGGAAAGTCTTTGATACAAGCACATTTATGTAAAAACCAATACTGTTTTCAATAAAGTACCAAAAGTATGTTAACTGTAGAACTGATTGCTCGATTAATTGTTGATCTAAAGTGTTTGTTTCATATTGCGTGATTTGTTGATAAATGTAGAAGATTGTAACTGGAAGTTTACAAATAACAAAGATAATTATGTCCACAAATAGTATTCGAATAAGTTGTTTATCCTTGGATTGAAGAGTATATGGTCTACCAACCATTGTAACTCCAGTATGTGCAGTATTTATTGAGCCAGTATGATGCGTTGAACGACGTATTCGACGAATGTTCTTCACTGTCCAAAAACCAAATATCGCCATTAATAGAGGTGGAAGAATTCCATTGATCACAAGTGAATAATAGGTCATGATGAGAGTGTATATACCTGGTTGATAGAAACAAACAAAATAATTAGGGCCAAATTGTAAAATGTCCATGAAGATTAATGCATGAATATGAAACAGTATCCAAAATATACCTATACTGATCATACTTGTAGCAATTAAACGACGTGTACTAAGTTTTCGTGTTCCAGCATTTGGTGAGGTGACTAATGTGCGATCGATTGATGCCAAAATGATGCAGGATGATTCCCAGCACGCAAATACCAAAGCCACGTAATAACGAAATCGACAAAAGGCGATATTGCTTGCACTAGGATCGATATTGTAACCAACTGCAAGTGTTGTAAAAAGAAGACCCAAATAAAAATATAAGAAATTAATGGTATTGATAGCTACAAAGCAAATTGTACATGGATTTTTTCGTAGAGTATCCTTGGTAAACACCATTAAATTCAATATACAACTGATACTTCCCATAGTTATTAATATTGGACCACCAATTCGAAGTATATTTTGTTGAATTGAATATAACAATGTTGCTGTAGACATTTGTATTTAGATTAGTCGTCAAAAAGTAGGGTGTAGTTTGAGATAAAGATAGTTTCAATGCTGCTCAGCTATGTAAATTACCTACACTGGTAATCAGATGTATTGTAGAATAGATGTGACAAAAAGTCATAATGAAGGAGAATGCTTTGATATTTATAGGATGTGTTAGTTGAAGAGATCTAATAAATTATAGAATGGATGAGAAAAAAAAGAATATAATTAGTAAAAATAAGGTAAGCTTACTCTCCATATGGTGCCAATTATACTGTTACTTCAAAAGATATCGAATCAGTGTACTTATTTTGAAGTTTCTTTTTTATTATACTTCTACAAGACATTAACGCTCAGTAAACAATGTTCCTTTCATTCGATAGTAGATTATCAAAACAGTTTTCTAAACATTGATATCAGCAAAAATTTTATAGACAATGATTGATCGATAAAAAAAGAACTCAATTTGAACAATATTGTGGCTGAGTGTTGTTATCTCAAACTGAGAAAAATGATTGATATACCTATTTAAATATTACTCGAGTCAAAAGAACTGCCCTACATATCTCAATTTACAAACAATTTTTCAATATAAACTGGTTGACATAGGCATACCAAAAGTACTGGCGTCATTATCTTATTTCTTTAATAGAAAGCTTGAATAGATTTTCTTTTTTTCATATAGTGATAGAGAAAACGATGCTCTATTTTTCTATACCATTTGATTACTCTTCGACTAATATCATAATAATAAAATTTTGATAAGAACTGTTTTTGTGTACATCTTCACTGATATGTGAGGCAGATTATGTTGCCACACTTTGCATTTTTTGCATTTCGGTTTTCAATCACTTAATAGGTTGTAGTAAACAACAAAACATACCACTAGATGCAGCGTGAAAAATTCTACAATTTTTTAAGAACAGCTTATTTTATATTTCAGATAAGAAATAAGGAATTTCTCTTCGTATAGAAAAAAAAAGAATTTTTTTTTGAGACAGTTGGAGAGAATTTTACTTTTTTTGGAAACACGAAGTACGCAATTAGAACAAGCGATCCTATACAGATTGTAGGGCTTTTCTCGGTACATCTTTAGATGTCTTTTGTTTTTTTTAAATAAAAGATACGAAGTGATAAAAAGATGAAATAAGAAAAAAATGAATTCATCTTGTACCAAAAAAAAATATCGCTTTTGAAAGATTGAAAATTGGTTGCTCAAAATTTTGCTCGTTATGAGAACGAAAAGTGCAACTATAAAATAAGCGGTCTTATTTAAATTGTAGAGCTTTTCCATTTAATCAGCTTGATATATTAGTGAAGTTGTACACAAAAACAGTTTTTATCAAAATTGTATTATTATGATATTAGTTGAAGAGTGATCAAATACCAGAGAAAAATAGAGCATCGTTTTCGCTATCATTACATTAAAAAAATCCATTCAAGCTTTCTATTAAAGAAATAGGGTAATGACGCCATTACTTTTGGTATACCCTAAGTAATTAATTCTTGATTCTTGTTTTTTTCCATACGAAACGTTGTGTGCATCATTGATAGAATCAGCATGAACAGAATCCGTTTTACTTCATTAATAATCGGTGAATTCATTCTAATTGCTCTGTGTCATGTAGTGAGGTTCACTATTGTTATTTTCTATTTCTTTCTTTTCATTTCTGTTGTATTCGTTATTGTTGATCAAGGTCAAACAAACTTTATATTTGGCGTTGATTTATTTTATATTACGTAATATATATATATATATTTCGTTTTGGTAATAAGTCATCTTCAATTACGTATATATCTTTCCGGTCTTTTCCTTCGTGTTGTGATAACTCTAATATCTCACAACAATATTTCTATTGTTATATTTCGTTTGTTTTCTTTCCGTTCTTTTACTTCATTGTATGAGTCATCACGATATATATATAAATACATGTTTTCCTTTAATAGTAGTTGCAAGTTGTTGTAAGTTATTTCAAGTTAGATAAAATCTTGTTACTCTTGCTCGTTTCTTTCATCTAACTTGTTATTCGTTTCCATTCTTTCAAATCAATAAAACAAGTGATTGATCTTGACATTTACGTATTTACTTCAATATGTGACACTATGTTTCTCAAAATAACATTGACTTGACATCAACATGCATATAATAACTTTCAGTTGATGCATTAAATATGATAAACGAGGTATGTGAAGATTTCCGAAAAATCAAAATACGGAAATTTCCGAAATTCTCTTACTCGTGAAAACCACATGGCAATCTAGATGAACAAATTTTGGATATTTTAGAAAATTCAGAAATTACGAAAAATACGGGAATTTCCAAAACTTCCGTAGTTTCCGAAATTTCTGAAATCTGCTCACTGCTGATCTCCTGTGGAATTCTGATATTTATCATGATCATGTTTACCTTCGGGACCCAAGTAACCTTTTTGGCAATTAGACACATTGAGGAGAAAAGTGATGAGAAGCCAAACAATACTTATAAGCAAGATAAAAAGCCATTATACCCAGAAACGAACACCTTAGTATTGCACTTGAATACAAAAACTTACGTTATGAGACCCTCACAAGACATACTTTTTTATCAGCAGGATCTCAGATTTGCACCATGATATAGACAATTTCTCTATGATAATTGAATTTACTGCTGAGTATGCTATTTATTTCAAAGCTCCGCTCATAACATTCATAATTGATTCTTCGAAATCAATTTCACCAAGAATACCAAGATGGTAGATATCCGACCTACTTTGAATCTTCACTTATGAACATATTTGTTTATTCGATCGTATTGATCGAGAATTTCTACGTCATAAATACCCAAAATCAGTTGCATCAATAAATAGACTTTTTCAATGTCGACTGATGTGTGAGCTGTAATAATCTAGACCCTTCTGGAGTACATCCTATACTGCAAAGAGACTGAAGTTCAACTGAAGATCCATTCTAAATTCGTTGATCGGTCGTATCGTTCTTCGAAGGTCCGCTTAAAAATTAGGTATTTGAATAGCTACAGAAAAAGATATTTTCAGTTATCGAACTAAAATCAGATTCTCTGTACCATGATAATTATTTTTCGTTTCGGATCTAGTCAATGCATCCATCGCATCAAACAACAACCAAAAGTAGCCCATTGACTAGTAGCAATAGATGATGACAACCGGTGAATGATACAAGAATTTGTCTGCTCTCATTTGTCAAATCGTTTTCGATCTCAATCAGACCATTAACCCAGTTCGAAGACCTATCAAGGGAAGTTTTATTCGCCATATTCGACTTTCTTAATGGCTACCATCTACTGGAGGCTTTGGGCGTGGGTGTAGGATAAAAGAAGGTTCGCATCCACATCCCACACCGAGTTATAAGAACTGGCAGCTACGATCGTGATTTCGTCCCTGCTGAAGGGACTCATCAGGTGGCATAGTTCATATTCATCATAACCGTAAAGGCTACGACAAAAACCGATATTTAACTCCTAGTTAGAGGACTAGAAGAGAATCGGTATTAATTGTATATGGCTGCAATTACAGCAGGGACGAGATTACGATGGTGACTGCTAGTTCTTATAATGACGAAATCAAAGGAAAAACAAAAAATAAAAGCAATGTAATTACAATTTTCTTACTCAACACTGATGTAATGACGAAATCAAAGAAAAAACAAAAATAACAGTAACCTTGTATAATTTTGTTTTTCACTCATTGAAAATGCAATTAAACACACCTGATTCGTCTTGTCGTGGTCCAACTGAAACAAGTCATTGGGGTAAAAGATTTACATTTTTTTTTAATTAAATCAAAAGTTTAATAGAATAACCATGATGTTTTCCTATCATATAACTTAACCCTTAGACGCCGAATGTTCCACTCTGATGCAGCCGATAAATCATATTATACAAAAGAAATGACTCAGTATTGACGGATAGATGATATAACAGATATTTTATTTTAAAAAAATTGAGTTTTTGATTTTTTCAATGATATCACGAAGTACAACGTCAGGCATTCTGATGAAACCATCTCATCAGTTCTAAGTACACTTATTGGGACATTTGTTCTTTACAACATGAAATATTCTAATCGTGCCTGAATAACCTCAGACTTGTTAAGGTATTACACAAGCGAGTTTTTGGTTATTTTGAAGGAAATCAATATACGCTTTCCGTTCCTACCAACGTGAAAAATTTTTGATGATCCTCAGATTTTTTCAGCTGCAGTGAAGATATCGATCCATTTCTAAATTCTTTGCGATAGTTCTGTTTCTATCCTCGTGGAGCATTCAGTAACCACTTTGTCGGTAAAACAAAACCATTAGCACGATCATTAGAAGATCGTTTTCTCTTCGCTAATATTAACTACACGATACTTATATGGTGTCATGAGCAAGTCTTATATTGAAACGAAAAGTGCATAAACATAAAAAAAAAGTGTACAATATCGCTTTAATTGATTTTTTTGAGCGATAAAACATAGATAAATAAAATTCTCTCTAAGGCAAAACTCTTTTTTACATAAATTGAGAAAATGGAAAAGTTCATGCCGTTAAGACCGAATGTTCCACCTCTATAAGAAAAAAGTATTTTTTTAAAACTATAACATGATCATACTGAGAATCCAAAATCTCTATATTAATGATCTAGTTTTTCTTCATTATCAAAGCAGTCCGTATTAGTTTTAAGGGTTAATAATAAAATATTTGTTTCATTTAGTTATCCCAAAAATGCTTTTATCAAGTGGATATCCAGGTGCGAAAGATATAGATGAACATCGACGAGTAACGCGTGCTATTTATGATAGTGGTATTGAAGTATTTGTTAATCTTATGCAAGAAAAAGAACTTGCTCGTTTTACTCCATATGAACGAGAAATTCAACAATATGCTATTCAAGGTTTTTTTCTTTTGTTTTTATTTATAGTGAAAGAAAAATTTTCTAGATGGTCGAAATATTGAATTTCTCTCATTTCCAATTCCTGATCAATATGTTTGTCGAGATGATCAAAAAGTATTTGAATTTAGTCTAAATTTACTTGAAAGACTTAAAAACAATCATCAAAAAATTCTTATTCATTGTTGGTAAATACTTTTCTTTAATTTTATTCTAAAACAATTTGTAAGTTTAATAATAAAGGGGTGGACATGGAAGAACTGGTACAATTATCTCTATTCTTATCGGAATGTTATTTCTATACGAAGGTAATTATTTATTTATTTATTTGTAAACTTTTAATACAAACTAATTGATTAGCGGATGATGCTTTGAATTATAATTATCAATTAAAGCGACAACGTTTGAGAGCCAAAGGAAGAACGAGTCATCTTCATCCTCGTATGTTCAATTAAAAGAAATTCTTTTTTGTTAAATATTTTATTCATAGGTCAAAGTGAACAAGTACGAAAAGTATTACAAATCTACAAAGATCAACAAACATCTGCAATTGATTCACCAATCGAACAAAAGGATTTTGTCTAATCGATTTTTATTGTTCATATAATAAACAAGAACTTCAAAACTATCATCTGCTGATTTTGCCAATTTAGGAGTAGTGTCACATATACCGAATTTTGGAAATGCATCATCATCTCTCTCAGAAGATGCGATGATCTCCCGCAGAAGATGTATCATCTCGTTCAGAGATATACATCCTCCGCAAGAAGCGAGCTCGTCTCTCAACACATGGTCATATGCCTCAGTTATGCGAAGTAGTTTACAACTTTAAACCTTTCTATATTTTTGATATTGCGCACCGGAAAAAAACATGCTGCTTCGAATTCAAACACCGTGTTTTCTACACAATAAAATTCTCTATCGAATGAAACTATTTGACATATTTTACAACGTCGAGCAAAATCAAGTCCAAAAGTAACTGTTTTATTCTGAGGGTGTGGATATGGGTGAAAAGAAGAACTACACTCACATCCACGGACACCTATCCACACCCTAAAGATTTCAGCATTTCTCTCACTTATTTATTCTCAATCGAATAGGACTTTTGGCTGCTTGAAGCCGATTACACCCAGGCCAAAAGATCAAATGTCAAGATCTTACAAGAATCGTACGTCTGATCATATCTGAACTGATAAGAACATACGAAATAATCTAACTGACCAACCAAACGAAAAATCATTGGCTCGTACAGTATCCAAGGTGGTGAAAAATATTCCAGAAGAAGAATTTACAAAAAAATTTTGACAAACTATTAGAAAGGATAGAACTTTATAAATAATCATGGTGACTATTTTAAACATTTAATGAAATAAAAGTCGAACTGTCTCTTTCTCTTTATATATTTTTTTTGAAAAATCTCAGAACTTTTGATCAGGCCTAAGTACAACTTCATCAACTTTCATTTATTATCTTCTTTTCTTTGCAGATACGTATGTGTGAGATAAGGAGACAGAAAACAGCATCGCTCGTCCTGTTGCTTCAAATATCTCTGTGTCCCTTCACATGTTGCTGATTATATGTTGACACGCACACCACCTACAATGGCGACATACAAATTACATTATTTCAATCTTCGTGGTCGTGGAGAAGTAGCTCGTCTAATTTTTGCTGCTGCTGGTCAACAATTTGATGATATTCGATATGAACGAGCCGAGTGGCCATCACACAACGCCGAAATGCCTCTAGGTCAAATACCCGTACTTGAATTTAATGGAGTCAAATTACCACAATCGTTAGCAATCGCTCGATTTCTTGCCAAACAATTTCAATTTGCAGGCAAAGACAATTTGGAACAAGCAAAAGTAGATGCTGTCGCCGATACGGTAGCTGATCTCATGGCTAAATACGGTCCAACATACAAGGAACAAATGGAAACCAAAAACCAAGCATGTATACAGAAGTTTTTAGCTGAAGAGTTACCTCGACATCTGACAAATCTAGAAACCTTAGGTCAAATGTACAGTGATGGTGGTTACTTCTTTGTAGGCAATCATCTCACATGGGTCGATTTATTTCTATACGATTTACTTGAAACTATTCGTCAACATGATGATCATATTCTTGTTAAATATTCATGGTTGAAACACAATCATGAAGAAGTTGAAAAACAACCGAAAATTGCAGCTTATCTCAAGAGTCGAACTCAAACACCCGTTTAAATTAATTAATGAACAAACAGAACATTGCTAAATGTTATTTTAATTTTTTCCTTGCGAATAATTTAGATCTTGATAGAATATTGATATCTTTTCTCTTGTATGCAAAGACACTTAGTACAATAATATCTAAATACCTCATTTTGTTCAGTTTTTAATGCTCTATCTTTCGGTATATAAGAAAAAGAATTGGTGAATCTATGTACAAAATTGCTAAAATTTGGATTTAGAGGTTTTCGATAACGCTGATTAAGATGGAAACTAGTGCTTCAGTTTTTATCATAATACTTGGTAGTCTCATGGAGCCTTTCTTAATAATCAATTTTCAAAGTGAAAATATGCATATCAGACAAAATAAACAACACATTTGTAAATGAGACTAAGAAGTTGCTGTGGAATACCTTCGAAAGCTACTCAGATCTGATCCCAATGTAGGCCCTCTCGCGACAGCAAAGTTCTTTGACATCTAGACTCACACCGACCCGATTCTGATAAACTCAATTATCTCTATCGAGATTATTCATTTTTCGGATTAATTGTGCTAGAAATCAACGCACAACGCTAGAATGTGCATTTTTTAACATAGCATGTACGCATCTGACAAAAATAAAAAGAACCGGCTCGCTTTCATGCAACATGCACCAGTACATGTGTGTGTATTTATTTTTCTTTTCCTGTCGCTATCAAAATCGTCATCGGCACATATATTATTTCACTCTTTTTTTCTTTTCTTTCTCTTTTTGCATAATATTTTATTGCAGGTTTATCAACACATTGCGATGTCGAGTCACATGTGAATTCACAGTGAAGCGCAGAAGATTAACTCACCTTTCTTTACGAATGGAAATCATCCGAAATTGGAACTAAACGTTAGATCAGTCTGTCCTTGGAGGATCTACACTTGACTCTTCCGTGTGACTTATAGAGTAGTGTTTTAATTATCTTCAATTATTTTCGTTGGCGTTGGAAAATATAAGAAATATTCGAATGAATATGTTCGAATTTCTTCTTTCAGTGTCATTCTGACTTGTTTATCTCAAATTAATTGGTTCTAGACGTTTGTTTGATGATGTATTCAATCGATCACGATTGGAATATTTTATTCAACAACATGTATGTCTTCTAAACAAAATCGATGGTTTTTTTGCTACTCAAACAAATGATTAGGAATACATTGATGATGTTCAACTATCGCTTACTCCAGTTTCTACAAAATTGTGGCTCAAAGAGAAACGTTGGCTTGTTTCTCATGACTTTATTATGAGTCTGTCATGGATTAGATTATACTCGATACCAATCTGTCAAACACATCTTGAATACGTATTCGAATCAGACCTTATTTCACGTTCTACATTAGCCATAATGAACAATGTTGTTGAGAGAGTGAATGATATACGTATGGTGGATATCAATATATCAGCAGCGATTATGGAACAAGAAGTATATTCGATCTTGTTTTTCTGTCAAAGGAAACGCTTTTTTATTTTGCAAACTCCTTCAAAACTCTGAATACTTAAATTTTACTGTTTTTATTGGGCGTGGTTGCGGGTGTGGGGTGTGGATGGATGGTGTGAGTGTAAATAAAGGTTACTTCTATGCACAAATACCTATGCACACCGACACTCTCGTATGAGTTCAAAAACTGACGAACAAAACTCAATCATGAACTTGTTTGAAAAGCTTGATTGTTGCTAAGAACGTCGAGCATAAGCTCAGGAAGTGACGTATGTGGTATAGCAGAAATTCTGCATCTCCAGGCAGATTCATAGTATATGGTCTAGCATTCTTTGCAAGGCAGTATAAAAAAAACCATGCTTGTGACCATCACTATAAAATCTCTCTAGCAAAGACATCTCCATAAAATAGATGAGTTGAAAAAGTCCTGGAAGTGTCCATCTAAGAGATTTTTACGGTAACAACATTTTTTCAATCATACATTTATTCATGATCAATTTTAATTGCAGAAAAAGGTAGTATTGTGCGTATTTGTAACAAAATGTATAACCTTCATCTATCTGTGTTCCTCTATTTGACCGTCTGACCTCCATAGTAGACTGTTGGTCATTGTCTATCTCTTTTATATTAGCATATGTTCTGTATGTGAATAGGGCTATTTATTGTGTGAAAAAGCCAAATAAAACGAGTGTGACTATGTCATGGACATTTCTTCCTTCAAGTTCGTTACCGTATTGACGACATCGGTCAAATAGAACAGATGAGTGTATCCATATAAATATTGACCTTCATATTAAAAGATGATAAGAATAAATCAGCAAAAGTAAAGATGGAATATTCAGGCATTGAATTCAATGACTTACCTGATGAAATCCTTATGGTTGTTTTCAAAAAACTCAACAATCTTGATGTACTTTTTTCTTTACAACGTATTAATCAGCGAATAAATAAAATTATTCACGATCCATTTGTTACAAATTGTTTGATTTTTTTTAAATGGTTTTCCGATAGTTTTATTGATCTAATTTGTTGTGATATGATACTTGGTCGATTTTGTTTACGCATTTTACCAGAAATTCATGATAAAATCAAATGGCTTGGTCTCAAATCATCATCTATGAAACATATTTTATGTGCTGCCCCATTATCCTAATTTATGTAACCTTGGACTTTATAATATTCATGAAGAGTCACTCCGATGTCATTTTACTGGTAAGAAGTTTCAATTCAATTGTTTTGATTCTAAATAAAAATAAAAGATTGTCAAATGTATTCATATAGATGATTAGATCATTTGAACATATATATTGATATTATTTTCATAGGTTTGTTTTCTTACTAATATTGTATATTTGTTTAGATGAAACTCTTTCATCTGGTACGTTCAAAAATCAAATTAGAACACTTTTAATTACAATTGATAATAATGAGAAGATACGAGAGACTGTAGTAAACGTATTCGATTATATTGTGACTGTTTTCACCAATCTAAATTATTTAACATTATACGAATCATCGTATAAAAAACGTCTGCGATTAGTTTTTGACCGCCCACCTCCTCCCACATTTCGTTCTTCAACTCTTCTGAAATTGAATGTTAGATTACAATGTATTGATGATTGTCTTTATCTTCTCGATGGTCGTCTTAATCAACTTCACATACTCTATGTTGATTTGCTTAATCTTCATTGTTCACGTAAAATTCAAAATCAAGTTAATTTTACAAGAACAAACGCTACGTTGTCAATTAATAAAACAAAAAATTTTATATTATTTTTAGGAAGACTTACCCAATCTAAAGTGTTTCTCTCTGTCATGCAATTTTGAAACGTATTATTACAATGAAACAATTCTCCCACTTCTCGATGGAATGTTAAATCTAGTAGAACTTGCTTTGTATATTGTAGTATATGTTGATAAAACATTTTTTGATGGAAACTATTTGAAGAGAAACATTATTAATTATATGCCACGATTAAATCAATTTATATTCTATATTCACTCAAGGATGTGTATTCGTAATGCAATGAGTTTGCCATCAACGAAAGATATTCAATGCACATTCATTGACTTTCAGAATAATGAAATCATTTCTTATGTGGATTATTTTCCAGAGACAAAACAAAGTCGATGTCATATTTACTCATATTCATCTTTTATGCCATATTACGGCGATATCACAAATAATTTTCCAGATGGATTATTCAAATAAGTTCGTTTCTGTCATTACATGATGAACATCCTTTTGAACATGAGTTTTGCCTTCGGATTGTTCAATCGTTTCTATTTATGGAAAAACTAACTTTGACTAATAATAAACCACAAAATTGAACACAATTTTATGAATTAAACAATAATAATGAAAATTTATCTCTTATTAAATATTCTTTTCTTAATGAACTTATTATTATCGATGTTCATGATGATTATATCGAAGAATTTTTGCTTGATACTAAAACGTATTTGCCAAATAATATTTTTCTTTGTATCAAGTATGAATCATTGAAACGAATAACACACAATTTCACAAGAGTTGTTACACGAATTAATTGTACCAAAATAAATGAATTAGAATTATTTCTGGAAGCAGAATGTTCGAATTCTTTACAAGAATATTTTCCTTATGCAAGAATATATTGCTCAAAAACATTTGCACAGACAAAACAATAAACTAAACAGATTTCTATAGAGATCAAAATGATTATGTGTGATAAGTAGCAATATGTGAAATAAATTAATTTGTTTGAATAAATATGTGTATAGTGTATTTAGTTGGAAGATAAGTACTAAAAGTTTTCTTTTGTTTAGCACTAAATTTATTTTACGAGAAAGACGTGTAACATCAGCCAAGAATATGATCGCCAGTCTTTTCGAGAATGCTCGTTCATATTGCTGGCAATTGTTCGATCTTACGTTTGTAGAAACTAGCTGGTTGTGATTCGAAAAACAGATAGGGTGTGGGTGTGGTTTCCAGTGATATCCACGCCAACATCCACTTCCAAACGCACACGGACATTCACTCATCCGCACCCCATTCGAAAAACTATTTTGAGGCTGTTAGTGAAGACTTCTCGTGATCTTTAAGTCCAGCACATACTCTCAAAGAGTATTGCTGTTGTTGTTTTGCTTTTCGCATTGACTTCATGCTGTGTTTTTGTCTTTTTTCCTGTTCTGCTACACAGCGAAACAACGAATAGCACTACAGAGACACAAAAGATAAAAGATAACGTACATGTTGTGATGTTTAAGATTACTAACAGCCATTGTGCATAATGTTCGAAGTGAAACTCAACGAGCAAAGTCGTTCGATTCAAGTCAAATGTGTTGATGATAGCAATAATGAATCGACTGTTATCGCCGAAGGAAGCTTCGTAGTCGATCGAGCTGGTCATATCGCTCTCGTTATTATCACTCATACCACGATCTTACCCAACGATCCTCGACCCGATGAATTTCTTACAAATATTCTCTACCACGTAGGTAAAACTTACCGTGTTGGTGTCTTGTTGCGCTTGTCTATGTTCGACGGTCAAATTGATATGAAAAGATTGCAATTTGAAAACATATATAGCAATATAATGGCAGTTACACTGGCTCATATAAAGTACGATGACCATCTTGTTCATCTTGATCAAGAACAATATGAATTGATTACAGAAAAACAAATGCTGCTAGATTATTCTCAGCAGTTGACCACTATGATCAATAACAACAAATTCGGAGAAAAGGAATGGGATTGTCAGGAGACTCGAGATCGCATAAATGCGGCGTCTCATGTTGCCATGATAGTCGACAAGGCAGAAAACGTACCATGTGGCATTGGACGCTCGTTGACGATTACATCGATCAATCACTCGCACGAAACATTCGCCTATTTATCAACAATTGGCGTTGATAGTCGTCATCAGAAAAAGGGTCTTGGCACGGTCATATTCAATTATCTTGTGAAAGCCTCTATCGATCGAGATTACAAGTGGCACACCAATGGATCACTCTGTTTAATGTGCGGGAAAGAAGGAATTGGGGCAGTGGCTGGACCAAAACTTTACAAAAAGCTAGGCTTTGAATTTATTTCAGAGATTGGCAATCGAATTGCCCTCTTTTATGACGAACAACATTTTGTCCGTTCGCAATAAATGTTGGCTCAAACGGATGAGGCTATCATTGAGTCCAAAGAAAAATCGATATGTAGTGTATGTAAAGAGAGATATGCAATAGAGATCAATTACGGCAATAGGTTGATGAGTCACAATCAAGCATCGTTGAGATGAAGTGAGGATAATAAATGATAAATGATTTTCAATGGATGTCAAGAATCAACGAGATGATTTATCAGTGTGAATGATATAAAGAAGGTTAGTTTTCATTTCGATAAAGCAAAGAGAGAAATGAACAAGAAAAAAGAATGTATCAGAGTGTGCCATGTGTTTTGAATCATCTTCACGCAATTAATACCAACGAATACCAGTGAAAATCAATTTTACATCGAAGAGATTTTGTTGTAAATGCTAAGCCACAGAGTCAGTATGAACTATTAAGGGTGTGGGTGTGGTTTCCAGTACTATCCACACCCACACCTACGGGAGATTACTCCAAAGTCATCGTGTAGATTTCGCGATATATATTGTTGGTTCATAATTAACATTTTCCGGTAGATGATTCATTGACCAAAATCTCTGACTACAGCTACATTTGGCATTTAATTATAAATATATCTATACATAATTTGTTTTCGTAACGATTTATTAACCGACGACAGGCCAGCATGTAACTTGTTCAATTTTTTCTTCTTTTGTGTTGTTTCATTGAAATCTGTTGAATTGTACCCACGATTATCATTTTCATTATCATCACCAAATTCAAATAAATCAACCGATTCTGATAAAAGTTTGCATGACTATTTAATAGCAGTTGATGAGTTTGAATCGTTCATGATTTGGCTGATGCGAGCAAGAAGAACTGAATAATGTTGTTTATAATATACTGTTTCATTTGTTGACTAATTTATGAAAACTTCACAGATTAAACGCCAATTTTCTTTCATAGCGAGCCATGCATTGTTATTCACTAACAGTGCTATGCACTACATACCCAATTCACGAATATCTTCTGGTAAGTATTTGTTAATACGTTTTTGGATATCCTAAATAGAACAAACGTAAAATGTATACCCAAGTAGAATTTCTTCGCTTACCAACATGAAATGAGACAAGCAAGCGTGGATATTGGTTCTCGATAAATCATTTTCAATAGGTTGATTCGTGAAAATACGATAAGTACGTGCAAGCAATTGTTGATAGTTTTCTTCATTGAATATATGAAGAGCAGCTTAAAGAAAAATTTGAGTACGATCCGATAGAATTACTGCTGGTCTAGGAAATGAATCCTTCTTATGAGTAACACCTAAAATACAAGAATTCTGTATTGTTTAAGTATATTTGTACAATTCAATTTAATATATGATATAAAAAGTGTCTATGTTCATCAAGTTCTTAATGAGGATAACCCGGTTTCAGAAGTAAGATTTGCAGCATCGCTCGTTCAAGCATCATTTCGACAAAAGGTATCATATAATATTAGAATAGAGGAAATCTAGTAAATTGAACGAGAATCAGCATTGTCATTATGCAAATAAGTTTATTCATTGTACAAAATATGCAAGATATTACTATTGCTTTTTTCCTAATTAACTTATTAAAGAGAAATGAAGAAAGAAAGAACTGATACTGGCTGTTAAAAATATGAACTCCTATATATAATATTGTATGAAACAATATTCTTCACATCAATTGCGAGCTAGAAATCGCATGATATGAGTGTCTACATCCCTCAGTTATTTTTTCGTTCGAATCTATTTTTAGATGGGACTGAAGCAATAGATTTCATCCAAAATAATTCTAATAAATTGAGCTAGCCACGCTAAGAAGTTAAACGTACTTTTTTATAGCATTCTTTAAATGCTTTTAACCAATTAATAACAGTAAGGAGTGATTGAGATATTGACAGCATAAAAGTTAATGGAATTAAACTGTCTTGATGTTGTGTTTTTGATTACACCACTACTAGCCTCCCATAATAAAACCGTTTCTGGTTGACTAACGATAACATCATACAAATGTACTGAAGCTTCACTAAATGCCACAATACAAAATGGTCGAAGTTGAATAAGTTGTATTGGACTTTTGATTGTTCCATCATTATTGATTTCATTAAATAATTGATCATGAAGTTGTAAAATACTGGATGTAATATCTGATATAAGTGAAGATTGAGCAGTCACTTCAGCTTTAATCTTTTTAAATATTTTTCTTGATTTTCCTATGCAATCGTAATTAAAACCTTTTCTTTCATTTTTGGTTCGTTCTTTATCATATTGAGCGTGCAATCGATAAACTGAAGCATCCGTTTTAAACTTTTCAATGATTGCTTGCCGTCGAGATCCACGAATAGGACGACTTATTCGTTCATCTATATGATGAGAAATTTTTGGATTTATTGTAATTATGAAACAATGACCATTATTCATGACGCATACAGTAAACTTTACACGTAGTATCATTACGTTTCAAAATACATCTTACAAGAAGAGAATTTCCTTCCGATACATGCATTCCAAAGTAACGCGATCGAATGCATAGACCACAAGCTGACTTGTAATGTTTTAGATGAGGCAGGAGTAAATTCAGATATTCAATATTAATCTTGTTGTATGTTTCAATTTTTTATTCCTTTCGGTAAGATTCATTAACATTGATATTGTTAATGGCAGTAGACGTATTTCCACTTTTCGAAGTTTTCTTTCGTAAAAGTGATGAATCAGATGTTAATTCTGTAGTTTGCATTTTACGATCAGATTGTTTTTTTATTTCTTGTTCTCGAAATCGATTCATTTTGGCAAGTTCAATTTCATTTAAACGAAAGTTGTGCTTCTGAGGAAGTGTATCTTCGAATATTTCGTCAATTCGTACACCTGATGCCACCGATGTTAATTTCTTACAGGCTTCTAAAATACAGTAATAGTTTTAATAGCAGTATTGATTAGAAAGAGAAATTATAAAATGTCTGTTAAACATCCAAAACAGGGGTTAGGTTTTCTACAAAGATTAATAGCACAAATGAAAGCTATGACGATTGTGTTTATATATTAACGTTTTAAAAACGTATATTAAAATTAATTAAATTATAGAACAAGTAATATAGTAATCAATGTTTTCTTTAACTTCGATTGAATTTATCATTTGTGTATAGAGAAAGAACAGAGAACCAAATACTTCAATACTGATTTTTTTATACAAAAGAAGGGTGTGGTGCAGGAGTGTGGATGTGATTTGTGTGTGGGTCCGTGCATTATTCTCATTCTCCACCCACACCCACACCCACTATCATTCTCGGTGTTTACGATGGTTTTAAAGAAATTTGCAAGGTGTTCTCGAAATTTTCTGGAGATTTTTGTGAAAATTTCGCGAGCAGAAAGTGTTTGAGAAATTACAGTTTAGAAAAAGGTTCCGAATGATTGAAGCATATCGTACAATATACTGATACAAATACTTAAAGACGACAAGTAATGTGTATCGACATCGAAGGTCGATTCACTGGGCCCTAGACTGATGGAATGATGACAAGCGGATGGTTGTATTTTCCCGATCATTTGGTACTATGTAAATATGATTTGTACCATAAAAATGGCAGTTTGTGTCACAGAAATGGTCATTGATGCCATAAAAATGGTCGTTTGTGCCATAGAAATTGTCATTTGTGTCAAACCCGTGTTACAGACAGACAGACAGACAGACACAGGTGAATTACGGTTTTTAGACCCTAGCCTTTCAGTCTAGGGAATAGCACATCGTATCAAAAGTCTAAATCTGTTTATCGTATTGATTCGTAAACTGATGAATATAGTTCTGTACTGTTCAAAGCCGTACCATAACATCACTATCAGTCACGAATATTTTTATTTGTTAGTATGAGAGTGTGGGCATGGGTGTAAGTGTGTGTGGGTGGCTGTGGGATGTGAGGTGTGGGTGTGGATGTGGATGTGGGTGTGTGGGTATGTGGGTGTGGGTGTGTGAGCGTGGGCCTTCTCTTTACCTACACCCGCACCCACCACCCACACTCACACTCACACTCACATCCACATCCACATCCACATCCACACTCACATCCCACACTCCACATCCCACACCCACACCCGAGCTCATATTCCTCTGATGAGGGTGTTCGGAAATCGTGATTCCACATGAAAGACAGATTTATTGCTCGACGGACTTGATAGAATTTGCATGAAAATCCTCGGAATTTGGGTGGGCTGTGGGTGTGTGTGTCGGTATGGGGATCGCTGTGTTTAGGTGTTGATGTAAACCTTACTTTTTCTCAACACACATACACTCACAACCTCGCACCTTCACTCACCTGAAGCTACAATCACTTCTCACCCACACCTCATACCTACACTCCACACCCACACCCCACTCTCTTAAATCGGGAATGAAATTCCCTAGACTGAAAGGCTAGAGTCTAGAAACCGAAATTCACCTGTGTCTGTCTGTCTGTAACACATGGTACCAATGACCATTTTCATGGTACAAATGACTGTTGCTCTGGTACCAATGACCATTTCTGTGGTACAAAACTACCGTTTTCGTGGTGCAAATGAGCATTTCTGTGGTACAAATGCCCATTTTCATGGTACAAATGATCGTTCCTGTGGTACAAATGACCATTTCCGTGGTACAAATGACCATTTTCATGGTACAAATGACCATTCCTGTGGCACAAATGACCATTTCCGTGGTACAAATGACCATTTTCATGATACAAATGATCATTCCTATGATATAAGTCACCATTTCTGTGGTTCAAGATCACCATGTTAGTAGTACAAATGACCATTTCTGTGGTATCAATGATCATTTTCATAGCACAAAGGACCATATTTATGGCACAAATGACTATTTCCATAGTGCAAATGACCATTTTTTTGGCACAATTGACCGTTTGTTCCCTAGACTGAAAGAATAGGATCTAGAAACCAAAATTCATCTGTGTCTATCTGCTTGTAACACTTGGTACAAATGCACATGTGGGTGGTACAAACGACCACATCGATGGCACAAAGTACCACGGTCGGGGTTCAAACGACCATGTTCATAGTACGAGTTGCCACCTTTTTTGTACAAATGACCATATCAGTGGTATAAGTGACCATATGGGTGCTACAACTGAGTATATTGGTGATACAAGTATCCAAAATCGTGGTACAGGTGACCATAGTTTTTCGACATTTTTTTTGAATTTTGTTGACATATAATATAGAGAGTTCGATGTTTGATTCGTAGGTTTTTTACATATGTGGTACATAAAATCCTTTTTTTATTTGTCTGTATAAAAAATTATATGTTGAACTTTTATAGAAACAAAATTCATAAAATGCTATTATTGATTTGGACGTTTTATATAAATAACTGGAATACTCCTTTTTTTTTCACAAACTAAAATATTTTTCTCATTATAACTGTTCGATGATTTCTTTTCATGATAAATTGAGATTGATGGTTTTTCTATTGCCATATTATATTTTTTTTTTGGATTCGATGTAGGACAGTTTTTGCGAGCATGTTTCGGCATACAGGTTTGTTCGTTTGAAATTTAATTCTTTTGTTTATTATAAGACTCGAATTACATTTATTTTTAATTAATACAGAAAGAATCACCATCTCTAATATATATTTTTGAGTAGATCAGTTCAAATCTTTGCGAAACAGTTACATATAGTCGTAAAAGATAATAGTCATGGCACGTATGAGAAACTTATGATAAATATTAATACAACAAATCTGTGACCAAAATTCGTTGTAAGTTTTTTCGTATGATCTTGTAGGATAATATCCGATATTCATCCAAGATTGGATGGAAACACAATCTGAATCTCATCTTAACACCTTATTGCTTGACCTGCATATGAGCCGTTGAATCAAGCTTTCAAAACCATGCATAAAACACATCCCTACATGAGTTTACATTATTATTTCATTAGTAGAGAAATGATTTTCTTAAGGTAGGTTCACCTGAAAATGTAATTATATGTTTATGTCCAGTAATTCAGTCTAGGGTCAAGCGAATCGACTCTCGATTGGCGTTACTTATTTTATTTAATGATTACGTTTAGATGAAAATTTCGTGAAATAAAAAAATGTCGTGAAAAATCAACAAAACATTTCTTAGCTGCCAAATTTATACAAATAAATAGAGAATCAGATCGTATAAAAGTTTTAAATAGATTTGAAATAATGAAAGCACTTCAACATCGAAGACTTTTACAACTTTATGATGTATTGAAAACAAAAGACAACATTTGTCTTATTATGGAATTGTCAATATTTCATTTTATGTTTTTGTAAAAAGAAAAATTTTCTTTTTTTTTAATATTTTAAAATTACGGGGTGTTTCATAAGTTTTGAGGTACAACAAAAATTAGTTCTTATACAAAAACACAATAATCTTGAACTAAATGTTTTTATATAAACTTTGAGCACTCGTGACATTCTTTCATATGGCGTCTAATTGGATGATATCTTCTCTTATAAGAATAAAAATATAAACAAGAGAATGTGAAGATATCGGTGTAGGTGAATCAAAATAAAATTCACGCCAGCACTCACACTCCACACCCCACAGCTACACTTCACACTCACGCTTAGACTCAGACTCAGACCCAGACTTGAACCCAGACCCACACCCTACGCACACACCGCCCACACCTACAACTACCCATACTCACAGACCCATCCACACCCACACCCACGCGTCTTGCTAGCTATTGATTAAATCTTTTCTCAAGGATATCTACACACACCACACCAGTAAACTAGCCTTCAATCGTCGACACTAACGAGGGAACATTCCCAACTGTCGCATCACTTTTGAGTCGAGTGCATGCGCATCATGTAGGCCCTAGTGATCTATGAATACTCTGAAAAAATTTTGTGCCGCTTGCTTATTACTGCCGAGATATTGCACTTTTACTGTATATGTTTAAGAAAAAAAGCCGTAGTCCTCCTCAGGAACACTAGAAAAACTAAGTTTCGAATTTCTACTTGAAACTTTGCATAGAGATAAGCCTCAGTGAGAATAGTTTATTGTGAAAATTTCAGATGTTTTCATTATTCCTATCCTAAGATGCAGATATGGTAAAATAGCTTATATACGTCAATAGATTCCGATGTTCTTATTTCAGACTAGGAGCAACCAAAAGATCTGAAACTTTCAAAATAAACTATTCTCATTGAGACCTGTTCCTGCACAAAGTTTCAAGTTGAACTTCGAAATTCAGTTTTCCTAGTGTTCCTGAGAAGGACACGGCTTTTTGCTTATACATGCAGTAAAAATGCAATATCTCGACAGTAATAAGCAAACGGCACGAGCTTTTCTCGGAGTATTCATAGATCATTAGGGATTACATGATGCGTATATGCTCAAGTCAAAAGTGATGTGGCAGTTGGGAAAGTTTCCTCGTAAGTACTATTAACCACAACATCCTTTTGACTCAAGCAATTAGAGTGGCGATGATGCCGCTGAACTATATTACTCTAGGACTATGTACACACAAATTTTCAGATCTCCAGCCTTTATTATTGATTGATATCCGAGGGGAAATACTTCTGGCTAGTACTGTAAAAATGTTTATATTTCAACTCGAAATAAGATCACACTGTCTCCAATTTGCTGTCGACTTTTAGATAATAGTAGAAAAAACTTTAAAAGAATATATAAAATAATGAATATGTCTGTCTCAAATTACGAGCACGTAAAATACATCCAAAATGTTTTCACTAGTCCATAACATGTATCGCCAATATTTGTATTGTCAATTAGAAAATAGCAATAACTCGAATTACATAGTGTACGACATATAGATGAAACGTCCATAGAGAAACAATTTGCCGAGACTGTTGATCCCCTACATCCAGGAGTGGCACTATTAATACCATAGAAACATGAAGCAACTGTAAGGGTTTTTCCTGTTGTGCAGGAAACGTTAAGCACATCATGTTCGTGACCATAAAAAGTATTGTTAAACCCACCGCCTGTGAAGACAAAGATTAATAATTTTTTTCAAATCAATAACAGTTGAGATAGCCTTCAGTGGACTGCTCACCCCAAGAGATTGTGCTCGCCGGACTCAGCGACAGACATTGACCACTTGTAATTGTCGAGTTACAGCATGTTCCTTGGTAACCACTACTGCAATAACAGCTCGACGGTGAATTACAAGAGCCATAGCCGCAGTTATAATTACAATGGGGACATTGAGCTAAAAAAGAACATATACAGGAAGAGGAAATGATTCGTCTGATTGTACTCTCGTAGTCAGATATAAACTCACGAGTTTGACAATAACTTCCTAGAAAGATAAAAATCAGTTTTAATGACTATTAAGTTTAAGTCTTGTCTGTCTTCAAGACATGCACACACACCTGCCCAAGAGCTTGAAACGCATGAACAAGTACTTGTACTCGTCAATGTACTGTACGTACATGTACCACCGTTTAAGCAGCTCGTTGAAAAGGAACCGGCCACAAGGCAGCGCGGGGTTTGACAGTATGTGCCCGTTGTATAATTGTTACATGCACATGAACCGTTCGAAAGTAAAGTGCCTCTAAGAAAGAATAAAAAGAGAAGTCATTTTTTGTATATATATACAAAGGACTAGAAGGTGTCAAGGAAAGGACTCACCCATTTTGACATGGTGTAGCTAGAAAGTAGAAAATAAGGACACACCGTGTAGTTGAGAGATTTTTTCTGAGCTACTATTATCACATATCACTTACTTGGATCACCTGACGATGATGACTGTATCTGTGCCCATATAAAAGATACAACTATACCAATTATAATAATCACAATTACGACACAAGCAACTATCATAGCTTTTCCAAGTGTCGATGATGTGATGGTCTTCTCTGGAATAGTAGTTAGAGTCTGTGCATTCACTGCGTTGAAGACTGATGATGACTGATCCTGAACAACAAGTAGAGTGGGTAAGTGCGAGTATTACCAGAAAACAGTGAGGGAACACTCACTTCAGCTAAGAGCTTAGGCTGTGGAAAGTATAGAACATTGCCTGTTTGTGTGAAGGTACGCATCGTTTGACTGTGCTTACACAGTGATGTTGCTGTTGCTTTTTAAACTTAATTGAAATGAAAGTGTTTTGTACATTTTTGTTTAAACTTACACAGAGAAAGAAAGAACACTAATGGATGTAATTGCATACAGCACATTTATTCATGTTGTATGAGTTTCACACGCACGTATGAAGTGGGGAGCAGAAAGAAAACAACGACGCAGCATGTATATATGTAAGTGTGTCCAACAATAGTTGGCGAACAATTTCGTTTCTTGATGTAAAAGCCTATTGTTGCAAGTGCTTGAGGGTGTGAGTGTGGGTGTGGGTGTGGGTGTGGGTGTGTGGGTGTGGATGTGTGGGTGTGGGTGTGTGGGTGTGCGGGTGTGGGTGTGGGTTTGTGGGTGTGTGGGTGTGGGTGTGGGTGCGTGGGTGTGTGGGTGTGTGGGTGTGTGGGTGTGTGGGTGTGGGTGTGGGTGTGTGGGTGTGGGTGTGTATGTGGGTAAAGAGACATCCACACCCATACCCACACCCATACCCACACCCATACCCACACCCATACCCACACCCATACCCACACCCATACCCACACCCATACCCATATCCTCACCCTTTCTTTACTCATATCACTATCGATCTAATATCTACGATGTTCATTGTCGTCTCAATGGCTCGTTCTCAATCAACAACACAACCGAGATTATCCTTTGAAAAACACTTACAATTACAACTGAACAGACATAAACATCATTTTGTTGTATCATTTGCTTTGGTATTATTAGCATGACCTCGGCTTATCATAACATTGATTAGTAGATGTATGAAATCACCAGGGTGTGGGTGTGAGTGAATACAGAAAATAAAAGTACCCACACCTACCCTTCTCCACACGACGAAAGAGAATTTATAGTGGTCGAATATACTATATATGAAAGCGACAAACTTGCGTAGTTTAATTCATTTGTCTATAACCAACTTATCCATTGATTTCCTTCCCCTTTCGCAAATTAAATTTAATTAGAAATTAATCCATGAAAGAATTAGTCACTTTAAAATATATAAATAAAAATTTTTATTTAACTGTTCAAATTAAATTGATTTAATTGGATAAAACAAAAACTTTCATTGAGTTAAGAATCTTTTCTCTAACATCTTGATTTGTTATTTTATTATACGAATCTTTAATAATCAATCAGTTTGAATTTATTTATTAACGAATCATCTTTATTTTTTTCATCGTTTTGTCTATGTACTAAGTATTTCATTGTTCATAATCCAATAAATCAAATGATTTAAAATAGGATCCAATTAATTTGACCAAGATAAATCATTAAATAATATGAAATCTTATTTCAATTGATGAGTAAAAACTCAAATAATAATATATATTTATTTGTTTTGTAAAACCAAGAATGATACTATCAACACTCATTAGAACAAATTAATTTGAAAATTGTTCTAGGTTCGTGGTCTTAAAAAAGCAAAAGTATCAAACAGTTCGTAGTCATTAGAGAATGACTACTGATAATGATCTCTTTACTTCTTTTTTTATTGATCATTTTTTTTTCAACATGAAAGTTCATTACAGGAACATAGAACAGATGAAGTTCGTTTTAGAAGTGTAATTTGTATTTACCACGATCGAAATATCAATTGAATATACTAATAAAAAGCTTTCAGCGCAATCCCTGCGGGATAAAAAATGTGAAACACAATGGAGCTTTTTATATTGTGAATGAAGGAATTTAGTAACGTATGTCTCAATTTTCAATCACTAAGCACTGTTACCGAGAGTGTGAGGAGTAGAGACAAGAGAACTTTCTTAAAATATATCGTTTTTTACAAGAAATGCAAAGTGAAACTTGACTGAAAGTTTAATGAAAGTGATTGCGTTTATAATTGTTCATTTTGCTATGAAAAATATCTTGTTTTAATATTTTTCATTGCTACAAATAATCCATTTTATACCATTTCTGTCAATGAATTAATGTTTTCACGTTTTCTCATTATTAAATAGCAAGCAGTAGACTTTACTTGCGATACTGTCTCTGTAGCAGTCTGTAAGGGTCCCGTAGTGATGTCTGTCACGTCTGTGATAGGTCGTTGCTAAGGATATCTGTCACGTCTGTGAGGGAGGGGGGGGGGGGCCAAATTTCTACCCCTATATACTTCAACACTCCTTTTAGATCGTGTTTCACAAAAGGAGTAGCAACCTATGTTATATAATCAGATTATTTTAGAACAGCTATTGCAAACTACATTTTTACGATTGTAACAAGTAAAAAGTTAAATGCATTGCAAAGTTATTTCTAGTCTGTTATCTCTGAGTTATGCC